GTTTTCCGTGGCTGCCACGGTGTTTCCCCCAGGTGCCTGGCTTGCAAGGGCCTTTGCGAAGACTCCTTCCAGGGCTTTGAGGACGTAGGGATGCTGCATAGCGGCAGCGAAAGTCGGGATGGGATGGACGGGAGCTTGAGTCTCTTGCTGGTTGCGGCGAGAGGTCTCTCCGCCGTTACGCCGGCGAGACTGAGCATCGGACTGTTGGGTTGACTCGTCGTGACTGGATGAAGCCATTTTGAACGGGATGTGAGGTAAGTGAAGGTGAGTGAATGTGGGACTTCACAAGATCGAATAGTTGACACGAAGTAAATTATGGTGCCCTCCTTCTAGCGCCAAACTGTTGACGAGCGTTTTCGGTCAACTGTTAAAGAGATAAATGTCGAAAGCGAAAGACTGGGAGCGAAAAGAAGATTTGGTCTAATTACGGTTTTATTTGGCGATCACGGAACCGGCCTCTCGTACGAGGTCGACACTTGTGATTTACTTACAATTCTTAGAAGGAGTTTCTTACAGCTTTAGAGAGAGGAAGTGGAGAAATAGCAGAGTTAGTTGAGATTCAACAACCCAAAATAAATGAAATGAGCTGCTATTTATAGTAGTCTTTAATGTGGTACTGTCCAGCTACTGTTCACCGGTCTTGTCGCACAGTGGCCTTGCAGAGCAGTTCGGCGTCCCTCTGACATGTATTTAATGCGATTTGAGGTTTCTTCAATCATTACTTATCAGACATTAAATGCCAACATGGGGGGCATTTAATGTTGGTAGGCTTTATTGACTAGACTTGCTGGTAGGGTGCTAGGCTATGATAACCTATCCCATCACCTAATGATGGCCTTCCAAGTGGGAATATTTTAATGCTCATTGACTCCCGCCCTCTCCCTCTGGTCGGCCACCCCGGATCTTCAGGTCGGCACCTCACTCGAACGTGTTTGCGAGACGGCCAATAGCCTACTTCCTGCCCGGCACCTTCCAGGTCGACTTCTACCCGGACTGAGACAGGTGTCGGTCTAGGGAAACGTTCCCACGGTTGTTATGCATATCTTTAATCTCCGGCTCAGCTCGGCACCCCGGTATCAGACCGGGTCTTCAGCCCTGGTCCTGAGAGGTCGTCTCCGGTTCATCCTGGGCTAACTCGGCTATCAACATTACTAAGAATGGAAAATTTAATAT